ACCTGACCCCAGGAAAATGCCATAACAAATTTGTATATCAGATAGATTACAGACCTTACAAAAACAATTGACCATACAATTTTATTTTTTACATTTGAGATTACTATGTAATAAGTTTGTCTATCTAGATTGCTGTGCCACTGTAGCTGATCTGCCTTTTGTGATCCCTGAGACCGAAAGCTGCAGTTTTTTGGGACTTAGCACCTCATTCTAAAAACAGCCAAAGATTAAGTAAACAGCTGGGCTCTAACTTATGCCTGCAAGTCTGAGGCCACTTGAGTAAGTTATTAAAGAGTTTATTATTAGGTATAAAAAGGGTTTTTTATAAAAGCTATCTAAGGAAAAAAGTACAAAGAAAGCTTCTATTTTATTTGAAAAAAAGAAAAAAGTTCTATTTTATATGCTATCATAAGTGAAAAAAGACAAAGGGTTCTGTTTTATCTCTCCATTATATTTGCCCTCTATCCTTTTGTCCTCAATATTCATATATTTTTTAAAATGTGTGATCACATGTTACAAAGTTCGTTACAAGTTTATACCAAAAATTAAATTATGAATTAAAATAAAAGTTTAAAATAAAAAATGTTGTATACATATTTATTAAAGGTGGTTATCTGACTAAACGTCCATTGCCTGCCTGAGTTCACTGAGGGTTTAAAACTATAACTAAGATTATCAGTGAAGATTTGTGCGGATAAAGCCAGACAATATTTTATTTTCCATCTTAACACCTATGGCAAATTGTTGGTTCCCTTTTATTGGTCTTTGGCAAATTGTTTTATAACCTTTTAGAATGTGTTCTGAGTGGGAAAAAGTCTGGTTATTATTGAGAGACTGACAAAATTCTTATTACAGTTTTGATTATCAGAAAAAGGCCTAATAACAGTCTTGTTATAAAAGAGCTTAATAATTATAGATATAAATTTTAAAATTTCTATAAGATCATCATTAAGATTTAAAAAGTCATCTATTATATAACATCACCACAAGATAGTGCATCTTTGTAGATCTACAGAGATCTGCTCCAAGGTGGTGTGCTGTTGCTTAGTGATTATTACATATGTTTAATAATAATAGCTTGAAACAACAACTTGATATTTTCAAAGAGTGTATAAGTCAAATTACAAAATTGTTTTTAGTGTCCTCAGTTTTTTCATGATGGTGTTAATACTTGAGGACTTATACCTAATCAATTATGATAAGTAGATGTTACTCATTTCTGATTTTTTAAAAAAAATTGAAATATGTATATGTGATTTGACACCTTTTCAGGCTTTCAAGTTGCAATTACTTTAACAGGAGAGACAATTAAAAATGTAATTAGTTATTGCCTATATTATCTTTTTATGCTTAGTGTTCCATATCAGATTAAGATAAACAAAACTAACTGTTAAAGTCAGACATTTGACATGTTTTACTGACAATTTGGTATTACCCATGTTACTGGAATTCCTTGTAATCCTCAAGGACAAGGTATTATAAAACAGATATTGTGGAACTTTAAAATAGTGTCTTCATGACTTTCTGAGTGTGAGAGAAGTGGCTGTTGGTGCTTCTGCCCTGGTTTAAATAATAACTCTAAAAAATTGACTTTTAAAAACAAAAGAGGGGGAGCTACACCCCCAGAAGGAGTCTCCCAGAAATACTCTCCATCATGCCTTGTTCATTCTTAATTTTCTAAATCTAGATGCTCATGGCAAACCTGCTGCTGACTGCCTTCGACATGCTGAAACCAATAAAAACTATGCCACAGTTATGTCCTCTTACCTTTAAATGGAATGGCCCAGACCCAGTTCTCACATGGGGCCAAGGATTGATATGCCTGTTTGATATCAAAGAAGGCACAGCTAAATGGCTGCCAAAAAGATTAATGAAATAAATAGATACCCCCATAAAGACAGGCCCAATTATAATTAAGATGAATAACAATTGACATCCAGGGAAGAGAAATCTCCCTGAGAATTCTCTTCTTTTTCCTTTCCAGGTAAAAATAAACCACCCATGGTGTTTGCTGCTGGAAGTTCTAATCCTGATGCTGGCCTCCAGACTCATACTTCTCAGACCTTCGATGGGCCATTGAGAAGGACATCAAACAGTTAGAGACTGACATCACTAATCTGATAAATCCCTCATTTTCCTGTCTGAAGTGATCTCCAAAAATAGCAAAAGACTTTACTGGACTTGATTTATTCTTTTACAATAGAAAAGACAGTGTATAGCTCTTGACTGTGTACAGCACTTAAAGAAGAATGTTGCTTTTACATAGACAAGACAGGGATGGTTAAAGAGAGCATGAAAAAGGTCAGAGAAGGCCTTGAGAAAA